AAAGGGTTGTCCAGCACTGGAAAAGGCTGCCCAGGGAGGTGGTGGAGTTGCCAACGCTGGAGGAATTTAAAAGACGTGTAGATGTGGTACATAGGGACATGGTTTAGTAGTGGACTTGGCAGTGCTGGGTTAACAGTTGGACTCGATGTTCTTAAAGGTCTTTTCCAACCAAAATGATTTATGATTCTGTGATTTTGTGCCGAGAAAGGTAGAGTTAGAGAGGCATTTAGTTTGCTTTATTTTTAGCCGTCTTTAATGCAGTGTAGCAGCTGGAGATAAGGAGAGCCAATACCATACATTGAATCTCCTCTAGAGGCTGCTGGAAGTGATCCATACATTGCTGGCAGCCTTTGCACTGGTACCCTTGTCTAGGGGTTTTGTCATTTAAACCTACTTCTTCAGAAAATTGGGGGAAGATTAGGTGTTTGGAGGAGCGTTACAAAATGGTAATGGTGGGCTCTTCCAAGGGACGTGTGTGTGTATGTATATTAGATAAATACGGTATTTTTGAGATGATCTTTAAGGTTCCTTCCAACCCAAACCATTCTACGATTTTCACCACGATCCTGAATAGCCAGTTTTCAAGATACAACTGAAACGCGTGTGCGTTGATGCGAGGGATTTCTGGTGCCCTGAGCGTTCTGGTGCGCTAGCTCCGTGCAGAGTGTGGTCCAGTGCCCTTGGGAGAGAAGGCTCCTGCCTTCAGCCGGCTTTGGATCGGGCCCTCGGTGATGAGACGTCTCATCGAGTTGTTCCCAGTAAACACTGCTTTTGGCCTCCCTTAAGTGCAGCTGCTGGCGAAGGCCGGCGGCCGTGTGTCTATGGCCATATTTGTCGTTAAGCATTTGAGATCTCGTTTGACAAATTCTCTGGGGTTGAGTGACAGTCCTACAGAGCCAAGCGATTGCGGCTCATCGGGTGGCAGTTCCCCGCGTTTGTTAAGTTGATTTTAAGTGTAGTTTTCCAGGACTCTGCAATTCTGGTGGTTGTTTCTATCAAGATACATTTCAGTTACCTTGCGTTCTTTTCATCCCAGCCCTGTGCACGTGCTTCTTTATGGTCTGTCTCTGGTTTTGCTGTCTGTTGTAGAACAGTTACTGTGTTTATGAGAGGAGCCAAACCCAGTAAACGCAGCCTGTGCATTTTTGAGTACTTTTTGTTTAGATTCCTTCATTCTTCTCTGTCTGTAATCTCTCAGGTCTGCCTGCCATGCTAGGCACATGATGATACTGTCAGATTTTGAACTGATACTCTGCATTACTTGAAGTAGGGCGTAATCCTGAAGAGCTGTGCTGCTCAGCTCTGAAGGTGGTGAAATACCCTCTCATATCACTCTTGATATGAAATTCCCTTTCTAAAAAAGAAAAATAAAGTATGTAAATATTTTTTTGTGCCGAGTCAAGTGTGTGGCTATAATGAGTATGTAGCATGGAACATTGCGGTCTGCAATTTTCTTAGGCCAGGCATGTTATAATTATTATATGGTATGTTTTATTTATTACATTAATACCCTCATTGTGATCAATTACAGTGCCTTATTCTTTGCAAATCCCTCTGTAAAGACACAAGTGTCTTTGTGTTGCTGGCTTAGGAACTTCGACAGCGGTGAATGTTCAACACCGCTTTTGTTGGTGGTACGGGAGGGAGACGCTCCCTGTGCGGTTGATGTCATGAGTTGGTGATGCTGGAAGCTGGCACTTAACCCCGAGCAGGATTTCCTCGGGATAGCTGTAACCACAGCTTGGTGTCCAGCCGCTGGG